TTCCCGAAACGACCAAGCCTATACTCCTTCGAGTTCTGCGAGTTCTGTCTAGTGCTCATTCTCCGAGTGAAATGGGGACAGTCTTGTTGTGAGGAGTATATCCGAGGATTTTGGAGGCAATTTAATCGTGTTGAATTCAGTGAGAGACTTTGGCTTGCAGGTCAAGAGAGAAAGAAAGGTAGAAACATGGGTTGGTCAGTAAGGTTGAAGATACGTTCATTACAACAAATTGGTGTCTGGGCGTTTATGGCTCGCCACCATAGACTTTGCAGGGTTAGACAGGAGCCCGACTTTGATGGATGCGCTCAAAAATAATTACAACATTTTTCTCAGCATGGGCCAAGGAAAAGGCACAGGGGTAGTGCTTTATCTGCTTCATCAAGACTAAAGAGGATTCTGCATCCGTTGCATAGTTCTTACTTTCTCTGATCTGTGAAACCAAAGACCATTTGCAAGGTGGCGTTGAATGGAGCTTGGCTAGAAGTAGCTCTATTTCTGATGTCTCATCGGATGACGACTGGGACCAGAACAAAATTGACTACCCTACTTTTAAAATCGCTGCCTTCAACAAGATACCAAAGCTGCGAAGAGTGATGGAAGTCCACAAGCGTGTCTGTTGAAGGGACAGAAAGGTGATAGTTGATATTGAACCTTTTTGGGTTGTAATAACTGCAATTCCAACAGCCTTGGCACGAGAGCTCAGCTGGCTCTCAAGAATTACCAGATAGTTGTCGGGAGCATCCTGTTATGAATAGTTTCCCTCTCTCATCTCTCCTCGATTTTCGTTCATAAGAACCGCCCTGCTGATCATCACAATCTGCTCTTTCCTCATTTTTACCTCTCACGCGCTGTTCTTTCTTAAACTTTTCCTTCAACATCAGAACCAACATTCTTCGCATCAGAACCTCGCGTCAATAAATGAACAAATGAATTAGTTGACATTAATAAATAAACAAATGAATCAATTGACAACCACCACAGCACGCATTAACAGGCCTCCCCAGATCTTCGTAACCTTATTGACTTTGTAAAATCATCTGTAATTTAGTGCAGACATATGCAACTTCTGCCTACATAGTAGAGTCGCAGACTTTCCTTAGAGCCTTCTATCCTATTGATTGATCCTATTGGTTTTCAGCTCAGTCGTTCACAAATTATTTTCTACTGTGTTTCGTCTATTGTACTGCATTGTCATGCAAGACTGGTGATGAAGGTCTGTTAGGAGTGATGAGGCGGCGAGGTTTACAGTATTTTGTGTTGGCACTGATCGATGTCGAAGCAAATTATATGATTGTATACGCCTATCAATTTACGAATCTAACTAGTGTACAGGTAAGCCACGCCCACATTCGGACGTCTTCGTCGGGGTAGGCTAACTTATCTGCGTTTCAGCTCCTTGACTGTTCCACGATACCAATGGTGCTACTGCTCTCTTGGCTATTTCTTTCGGTCCGATATTTAATTTCGCATATTATAGGTGAAGTGAAAATTTTTTGGTTGATTTGAACTTTGAATTTTTGATATTTTCGATAGAATTGAAGTAATCACATTATAGGAGAATAATTTTTTGTTTTTAGGTGTTTGTATTTGTTTAGTAGGTATCGCTTGTCTAATATGGGCTGATATACTGGATGGTAAAGGCAGCATAGGAGGTGATTCTAAACTCATTTTGTCTTCTAAATGTATCCCTGGAAGTCTTCTCTGGGGACTCCGGAATCGGAATAAAAACAAAAATTAATTACATCATTCTAAAACAAAAAATACATATGTTAAGTGTCGAAAACAAAATTGAAACAAAAGCAAAGCCGAAAACATGACACATGCTCAGATTTCTTTGGGAGCTTTCATGGGGTCTTTATGCAGGGGTACCACGCTTATGAAGTAAAAGGATAAAGGATCTTTGGGTGTTGGTGGCAAGTATTTGCTTTTATCCTCCCAGGCCCGTCCAATACCAATTAACCAACCCAGGAGGGATGGAAAAATCGGTTGGCTCAGGTGACGGAACCCGTTACCAAACTTGTGTGATACCACGAGACTTGCCCCTGCACAACTTATCCGATTATCTTAGCCTTGCTTATTTCATCACGGAGTCGCCGAATCGCCTTCCCATATTCAACATGTGCTTTTTTACCCAGAGACCCTTAAAGGCACTGTTCGCGATGATATCATGGGCGGGTGTGTCGATTACGTGTCCACCTCTCATTCGACGCCATGTCAGACGGTCTGTCGTGACATCGAATGAGTGGCGGACACGTCATCGACACACCCGCCCATTGAATCATCGCGAATAGTGCCTTTAATCTGTGTGTGTTTTACATCGTAACATACGTATTGAGCAGTCAATCATTTGCTGTAGCTTTCCGTTCGACAACGGCAATGACCCTTTCAAAGGCCCCGTGAGATTCGATAG